TTTAAGTGGGAGAACTTTCACAATTGGTGGCTGACTAAATACTTTTTTGCCCCACTGTATGTAGCACTCCTTCATCCAAATTCCTCCCATGACAACCCAGTGAGGTTAGGTTGGGCTGAGAGAAAGTGACTAGCCCAAAGACACCCATTCAGTTCCAATGGCTAAAGGTGAACTTGAACCTGGCTTGAGAACATGTCTGCCTAATGACATCACATGAATAATGCAACACTGTAAAGCCACAGTTCTAAGTATGTTTACTTTGAAGATTGAACAGTACCCCTGACATAGTAACCAAGATGATTGTCACGAAGAGTCGAACACAACTTAATGACTGAACAACAACAACAACAAATGATTGAAAATGCCAGGGGAAGAAAGAGTGGCCGAGGGCGGGGGGGGGGACTAGATGAAAAACATTTGTTTAAATATAAGTCTTAATAAGTCAAGGTTTATGTGGAGGAAGTTTTTAAGGCTAAGGGAGATCATGAGAGCAGGACACTTCAAAATTCCCATGCATGTTGTATTATCTACGTTGAACTTGTCTCTCCAACGTTTTTGCTCAAATTTTGCTAAATGTACCATGGTACATTCTGAGGCAGTTGGCAGGGCCTTAAGAGGGCTTACCAGTGAGTAGTTTTTGTTTTTTTAAGTCTGAACACATTGGTTCCATTTTAATTTTCTGTACTGCTCCCAACATAATGTAGCACTGTGGGAAATGGTGGTTGGTCCATGAAGCTAATGAAAGCATCACAGTTGCTATTAGGGTCTGCAGTTGTCATTCCTCCCTGAACATAATTTATTCTGTGGAAGAGGATGTAAGTATTCACATATACATATTATGTCCTTAACTTTTAGTCCAAAATGTCCTTTTCTCTATCAGGGTCACTGCAACCTTGTAGAAAAACCTTGTTATAAATTTGGAATTAGTGCCCAAGTAGCTATTCTAACTGTAGCTGGCAATTGCAACAAGCCTATTCTGCTATGCTACTTTGGTGGCAGTATCCATAAACTGAAGTTTATCTGGACTATATTAGGATTAGTTAACACAACCAAGTGTCAAAACAGTTACTTCCATGGAAAGAGCTTCAGCCATTTTCTTGATCATGGGAGCTATACAATATTGCAACCACACCATCATGGAAAGAACTAAAGCTAAAAGGAAGCAATAGCAGGTAAACCAGCCTATAGAACTGCCAAGCCCTGTGAGATTTTGTCATGACCATCTTTTATATGTGTAAATAATCTAATTCTATACTTCAGGTCTTCTTTGATTCTACATGTTTAAGCAATACTATTTTAAGCTTCATTGGTCAGTGTGCCATCTGTTCATCTCCAGGTCAGTAAAAATTTTGAACCTTCCTGGAACAAAACTCTGCCACCTAACAGACTGTGGTAATTCACTGTGATATGTGGACTTTTATATTTGACTGATTGATGGGTGGAAAAATCAGTTCTGCAAATGAATGAATCTACTTCCTCTCCTGTCCCATTAATTACATTCTTTACAACAATCTGGATCTATATTCAGCATCCAGTCAAAGCCAGAGATTGTGTTATTTATTCTGATTACATTAATACATGACTATAGAGACAATAAAAATTCTATTTAAAATATATAAAAACCGTGCTAAATATAAAGTGTACTACCTGATTCAAACTTCTATGAATATTTATATCCCAATGAAGAAATTTGAAGTCATCAGACAATAATATCTAGTCCTTTCATTCTCTTCAGGAGTTTTATTCACACCTTGGAGATTTCCAAAGTACAAAGCTGCTTCCAGAAAAAAAAAGTATCTATGATTGACTGATGACACAACACCATTGATTCATCCAAGAACAAGTCTGCAAAAGAATATAGTCTGAGGCCATCATTATGTATGAGCAAGTTTGCCACTGCATATTAAAAAAACTGGTTCAGAGGACTCATGGATCTCACTGAATTAACTTCAGGTAAAAGTGTCCCGCAAGTCAAGTTTCATTCCTGGGGAGCTCATGGTCATATCTGTGTAGTTTTCTTGGTAGCAATATGGAAATAGTTTGCCACTGTCTTGCAGGATTTTATTTTACTTTCTAGTCTAGCCTATAGCCCTGCTATTCTATGGGGGACTCCCATTCAAGTACCAAGCAGGTTCAACCAACTCTGCTTAGCTTCTGAACCCATCCAAGTGCTGCCACTTGGTAGGCAGGGTTTAAAAAAGAAGATATACCAGGAGTCTTTTGTAAATGAATCAAATGCACACAATTTAAAGCGAAGGGTGCTCTGAATATAGAATCTTCATTTCATGAAGAAGCTTAAGGGAGAATCATTCTGTAGCTTTTAGTAGAGTTGTGGGCACCAGAAAGGTCTGTGTAAGCAGATGACATGAGGAGGTTCTTGAAGCAGCCAAGCTGAAGTAAAGGGTTTGTAAGGCACCCTTCTGAATCATTCACACTGCAGCTCCCAAGGAAGAGGCAGGTTAGCTGAATTCTGTGATGCTGCTGTATTCTTCAGAGGTTACCACCTTAGGCCTGAAAATGTGTTTGATAGAAGGATGCAGCATTTGCTTACTGGGTAAGTTCAGCCAATCCGTCACTCAGCCCATGCAACCTCACAAGTTGCTAATAAAGTGGAGTATGAAGCCACATTGAGCCCCTGGAGAACAGACAGGATATAAATCAAACAGATAAAAATAATAGCTAATCTAAGGGCCAGATTCTCATGCAAGGGGATCACAGCTCCTTTCAGCTCTACCCACTTCATCCAGTGCTTGAGCTGACTGGAACTCTAGTTTTCCAAGTGTTGCTGGACTACAGATTCCCCAGTACTACCTTATATCCACGACATCACCACTCCAAGTTCACATATTTAGCCTTCCCCAACCTGGTGTCCTCTAGATAGGCTAGGATGTTTGGGTTCCACGCATCTAGATCTTATCAGGCTGGGAAAAGATGCTTTATAAACAAACTAAGCATATGAACTAAAAGCTTGCTTTAAAAACGAAGTCTTTTTGAAAAAGCCTGTAGACAAAAATAAATTTCAGAGATTTTAATAGCATTATAACGTATCTCTTAGCGTCTGTTCTTCTCCCCAGTGTTAAGCTTAGAACCAGTTGACGTAATTATGGGTACGGAACCATGGAAGTGTTCCATAACAAGTGTAACATGCTAGCTTCCTAAAACAGATGAACTGACCAATCAGCTACTAAAGAGCATACGTCCCGGGCTTCCGGCTGCACCTTTCCCAGCCGGACAATATCCTTCCTGTCCACTGATCGAAGGAGTTTCCAGCCAGTTGCGTTCCGTTTGCAATGGACTTCGACTCCGGTCCCATCATCCCCAATTTATGGGAGATTAAGTCAAACGAATCTGGAAGACATTCGCTAGGGGAAGACTAATCAACGTTCAGGCGAATAAGCACGTTTAGGCGACCATAACCAGTAGAGTCGTTGCTTGCTCCGCGGATCCAACCACGTTCCATTTACGGCGACTCTAATTCCCAACATACTCACATGTGTCCCTCGGCGCATTGTATCCTGGGAAATGTGGTCTCCGAATTGATCCTGAACTATGGGGCGCACTGCGCATCTGCAAACTTTCGTGGTGTCCTTGCCCTACGGGGCTGTTCTGTGATTTGCGGAAAATGTGGGTGTCCTAGCAACTAGCCCAGCCAGCAGCTACTGATGATTCCAGTGCCCCCTTATAAGAAGCGGCCGCAAGGAGCTAAAGGGAGTCCATCTGGTCGCTGCCTGGAGCTAGGGAAAGTAGCAGAGGCGCCCTTTCGAATTGCTGTTGCCGCTCGGCGCCTTGTTCCAGGATTTCAGCCTTGACAGAAGCCCGGGAACGCCTCTCCCTAGTTCCCCTTGGTCGCGCCTGCCAGCTGCCCCCATTGGAACTGCCCCTGAGATTTTAGGACCGTGCCGTGGGAAAGAGTGGGGAGGCGAGACCCCTCTGCAACCCACACCTCACGGGCCGAAGGATGCTTGAATCTATTCGTGTCACTGGTGAGTAATAGTGCCGCACGGTCTTTGTTTCCTCATCAGATCCTTACAGTAGGATTTGTGATGAAACAGGGCGGGACTGGGTGTGTGTGTGTGTGTTGGATCCAGCATCAATTACTGCAGTCCGAGAAAACCTATTGAAATAAGGCTCAAATTAATCCTGGCTCACTTGTCCCATTGATTTCAAATGGGTCCACTCCAAATAGGCTTTAAGTTCAGTGTGGTAATGTGTCATTTCTGGGATGAATTTAAATCCATCAGAGAGCAATGGGCTCTGTTGATGGGCAGAGTAATGTGGGGCTTGGTTTAATTGAAAACATATCAAGTCTGCATGGTAGTGATTAAAAAGCACATCATTTTTTCTGAGCTGGGAATTGTTTTCTCACATAGCAGGGTAAAATGTGTTTTAGAGAAATTGCTTTATTATTTTCAAGATTAGTGTGATTTTTTGCACAGAGATACTATTATCACAGAGATAATAATAAGGTGGTCTGAGACATAGGTTGTCTTATCCTCTCTCTCACACAAACACTCATGTAAATCTGTATAAACAAACATTGATCTGTCTGTACAGAAAAAAGAGGGAACCCTTTTCTCTGTGCATAGACAGGAAGACTGTGGGATCTTCCATGGAGAAAGAGGTGTGGATAGATCATTTCTTTTCCTTCATACGCACTGACAAACAGGTAAATGAATAGCCATGCTGTAAGAGGAAAGAGACTGTCTTTGTTTGCAACCATGTTAGGACTACCAGTTCTGAGCTGCAAACATCTAGACTACTAGATACCATCAAAGAGTTGGAGTACTGTGTATCTGTTTGCTGTCATCTAATGCTCTTCTGGATGTTTGCAACGCAGCTCTTGTAACTCTAAGCCAGATCCACCCCCTTCTGTGTCCAGAGGAAGATGTTTCCTTTGCTGCCAGATTGCTTCATTTTCTCTTGTGTATAGAAGGTAGAATAACTTTCTCTGAGCAGGATAGGATTTCAGGAGATGAAGTTTCATCGGGTTTTTGGTTCATTCCTGTACTAAATTACTCTGCCTTTAAGAAGCCTCTTTGAACAGGTTGCATGTATTGCAAGAACTTGTAAACATTGTGTGTGCGTGTGTGTACACCTCTCTCTCTCTCTATGTATATATGTATGTATATATGTATAATATTACAGAACTTACATATCTTAAGTTCTGTAATATTGCAAATGTTCCAGTTGAACATGTCCTTGTAAAACAAGGAAGACTAGCACTATCATGGAACAGACTTCCTTGTGGCTTTGGTCTGGCCACATTGTCATCTCTAATAAGTAGAAGAAGGCTTGGTAATGACAAGAAGGCCTCCTGAGGAGAGGGATCTCATCATCTGGTACCCATCTGTCCAAACATATTTCTTGGCTACAAAACACAATACTGTACATTGCCTTCTTTCAGATTATATTTTTACAGTTCTAGATGGACTGGCCTGTAGATTGTCCTCACTCTTATTATGAACTGCTCTTAGCTTCATTCCTTCCCTTTTGGTCTCACCAGGAAAGTGATCTTACCAAGAGTTCATATTCCCATCAGTGTGTTCTCAGGATCACTGAATCTACCCAGTTTTTCTACCACATCAGGTGGTAATCACGAACCAAGTAAAGCAGGAAATTGTCAAAGTTGAAATGAAGTATAAATTGTATGCTTTTAGGAAATTAGTGCATATGCTTGGACTATAATTGAAATACACTACTTTAACTGAGGTGATTAAATGATATATTATTCAGGGCATAAGACTGTAAAAGGGAATGGAGTTGCAATGATACTAAAAAAGACATAATTAAGTGTGTGGCTGGCTGTAACTCTGTCAATCATTTC